GACCTGATCCTGAAGAACAACCCAGCTCCTGTAATTCCTCTGTGATCCTCCTTCTGCTATCGTCTCGGTTAATCTCCTACTTTCTATTTTCCTGAATGTCGACTCTGTTTGGTCTTCCAACGTGTCTTCATGGTCTTTCAGGGAAGGCTTCACAGCAGCAGCCAGCAGATGGCAGCAAAACCCCTCAAAATGACCCCAAAGACAACAAGAGGTCACTTCCACAGAACATGACCTCTGTGAGCGACCAACCCAGGCCATCCAGAGAAAAACGAAACCCAACTGAGAAACATCCAAGCAGAAACAGACAAACACGGAGCAAGGCAAGTAAAAAAGATCCGACCAAAAAGCTTCCTGTTAGAGCGGATGTAAACAAGGCAAACAAGAAAAAGCCTAGCAAAGAAGATCCAGCTCAGAAAGTCTTCAGATCCAGACTTGTTCCACCGCGATCGGCTCAAGACATTATCCTGGATAACCGAGCCATGGTGTTGGGCCTTTCAGCTGCTGAGAAACTGAACTCTCCATCTGAGGAGGCGATGACGCAGGATGGCTCTTTGGCTCCTCAAAGTGAATCTTCTTCCTCTGAAACAACCTTTGAACAAAAGCATATGAGTACTTCAGATCTGGAATCCCAAAGTCAAGATGAAGACAGGAATGTGGAAGATGAAGTTTCAGGTTTCAGTGAAGAAGGTCCCAGCCTTAAAGCTGCAGCCGAGTCCAACAAGTCAAAGGTTGTGGCTGCAGGTGGTGAAGACGGTTCCGACAGGAGGACAGAGGCCATTCCGGAAACCACAGTACATTTCACATCTCCTGCTGAGAACCAGAGCACTGGAGAACCACTCCAAAGACCTGCTCAGGTGCACAAAGCTTTCCCTGAAACCCCAAAGAGGGCGTCCCCCTTTCCTCCAGAGGAAATGTGGACCGGTCTGGTGATGACTGTTCAAGATTTGCTCCAAGGACTAGAGGATAAACCAGGGTTTGTAGTAGAAATCTCAAGAATCTTCTCAGAAATCCTGATGTGTCTCCACCACTGGATGTCAGATTTGGAGAACACACTAAGGAACAGAGTAGAACGTGAGTCCTGTCTGAATGATGGAGGTGGACATGAGTCAGTGTGGCCATTGAGGGGAACCAGACTCTCCTCATGGCTTCTGACAAGCCTGACCAGAGAAACAGCAGGAGGTCCTGGATGTGAAGAACATCTGGCTGGATGTCTTCATCACCAAGAGTCGGTTCAGCCAGAGAAAGGAAGGAGAACCCACCTGGTTCCTCAAGAGGAGTTTGTTCAACTTGTCATGATCGTTCTACCACTAATGACGAAGAAGAGATGAGGTCTGGAGCAAGAGACGTACAGCTGAACGCTGAGTCTGAAGCCAGTCCACCTGATTCTCCTCTAAATAGTTTGTCTGGAGATTTTGTTTTTGTTGACTCGCATTTTTCTGAATCTCACAAGAACTCAACAGACTCCAGGTCTGACAGTCCAACTCATGTTCTGGCTTCAGCCAAAGACTCAAAGGAGCTTAGAGGGAACTTCAGTTCATCAGCACATTCCAGTGTTGGACAAAGTTCCTTAGTCAGGAGGTTCATGGAGGTGACCGCTGAAGAGATCAGGGCCTTGGCTGTTCCTGAGCTGGCTCTGGTGGGCCTCCAGGAGGGGCGGCGGCTGGACCTGACCAGTGTTGGTTCTACTGAGGAGCTATCGGTTGGAGACATGGACAGCTGTGAGGAGGCTGATGAAGAAGAGGATGTCCAACTGGTTCCATCACAGCAACAGAACCGATCCACCATGGAGGATGAGCTCCAGGTTATCGCTCCACCGCTGGGCACCTTGGAACCAGAAATAGAAGACGAAGAACCCGGATTGGACAGCAGGAAAAATGACAACACAGATTGCAAGATTTCATGAGCCCAGGAACGCCCTCTGCTGCTGGTCTTCATGAACATCAAACACATTCATGTTCATCTGATTTTGTCAGAAGAAACCATGTTGACTGGTAGTTCTGGATAGAGCCAGAAGAAAGCAGAGACTCACATCAAGAGTTAGAACCTGGAAATCTAAATGTGTGAGGTGACTGATGAAGGTGAGAGGTGACTGATGAAGGTGAGAGGTGACTGATGAAGGTGTGAGGTGACCGATGAAGGTGTGAGGTGACTGATGAAGGTGTGAGGTGACCGATGAAGGTGTGAGGTGACTGATGAAGGTGTGAGGTGACCGATGAAGGTGTGAGGTGACTGATGAGAAGGTTTGAATGTGTTGGGATGACTGGTCTTCTGAGTATATCAGTAAGTTTCTTCAGAAGATGTGTTTCTGAAAAACGAGGGTAGAAAAGTTTTCATATCCAGTAATAAATGTTTATCTGAATCCTGGAGTTGTGTTTTTTGGTGGTTTTGTTCCACTTATCAGTAGGTGATGTTCTCTACACCTGAAGGGTAAGCTGACTTTCTTCTGTGTTCCCAGATCACATTGGAAATCATGAGAAGTTGAGATAAAATGATTGAAAGTAAATTTTTGATAATCAATCGTAATTAATGTAATTAATTTTCATGAAATCAAATTGGAGATAATGATCATTTCACCAGCTGAATATCTCCACCACGAGGGTCCAAAGCTCCGTCCAGTGAGTCTTAAGCTAACAGTGGAGTTCCTCAGAGCTGTGCTGTTGGACCTCCAGATGGAGCTCTGACTGCAGTCGACCATCTCACCTCATGGAGCTTTGACCTTCAGGCTGACCTTCGGGAAAGTCATTGATTGTTGCTCTCTGTTTGGTTTCAGAGCTGCGGATGAAGAAACTGTTTGATGACAGAGAAGGCTTACGGGATCAGGTTCGATCTGGAAACCTTTTGGTTTTAAGACTAAACAGGCTGAAACATCTTCTAGAAAATGATGTTAATCTCTGAATGTTCAGGTCAGACTTCTCCAGTCTCAGCTGGACCAGAGGAACGGGGTGGATGGAGTTCAGAACCCCGGGCCGAACCCCCAGGAGAACGGCATAGACCCTCATCTGCTGGACCTGCAGAGTGAGTTCCTGACGAGGTGTTGATCTCTCCTCTGTTGATCTGCTGCAGGATCAATCCTGATGCCTCTGCTTGGTTTCCACCAGGAGACGCCAACAGGCAGATCAGTGAACTCAAGTTCAAGCTGGTGAAATCTGAGCAGGAAGTCACGACTCTGGAGCAAAATGTCAGCCTTCATGTTTCCATGGGTTCATTTCCTCTCGGTCCTCCAGCCCTCAGTCTCAACTGGACGGTTTTGTCTTCAGGTGCTGCGGCTTGAGGGTCAGGTGTGCCGCTACAAGTCGGCGTCTGAGAACGCGGAGAAGATTGAAGATGAGCTGAAGGTGGAGAAGAGAAGACTGCAGAGAGAGGTGAGAGCGCCACCTTTGGTTGGTTTTCTGTGCGGACCGGTTCTGGTTAAAATCGTACGGCTCCTTCCAGCTCCGTTCGGCTCTGGACCGCATCGAGGAGCTGGAGGTCAGCAACAGCCACCTGTCCAAGCGTCTGGAGAAGATGAAGGCCAACAGGAACGCCCTGCTGGCCCAGCAGTGAAGGTTCGTCCTGGGCCGGGTCTTCAGACAGCTGGGCCAGGTCCAGAACATTTCAGAGACACTTGTGAACAGAAGACAATCAGAACCAGGTGGTGGAGGAGCTGAAGCTGAGACAGGTTGCTCAGGGTCGTCCAAAATGTTTCCTCTAACCGGTTCGATCTAACTGGTTCAGCCCGGTTTTAACTGGTTCGATCCAGTTCTAACAGGTTCAAACCAATTCTAACTGGTTCAATCCGGTTCCAACCGGTTCAACCCGGCTCGATCCGGTTCAATCCGGTTCAACCCGGTTCTAAGTGGTTCGATCCGGTTCAACCTGGTCTGGACCTTTAGAGTTAGTTTATACATTGTTCTCTGTTTTTCTCTTCTGTTTTTGTTTTCTTTCTGAAATATTGTTTAGTGTTTTTCTGACTATATTTAAATCATTTTAGTTAGTTCTTTATCACTAACCGGATCAAACTGGATCAAACTGGTCTGGACTCTGCAGATTTAGTTAATATTTTGGTTTCTGTGTTTTTCTCCTCTTTTCTTGCTGAATCGTTATTCTGTCATTTCTGTGACCTTTGGTCTGATTTTAGTTGTTTCCTCGGACTGGACATCCAGCCGGTTTAACCAGTTATTAGTTTAGTTGCTCTTCATCTTTTTGTCTCGTTTTATTTTTGAAACACTCTGTTGGCTCGTTCTTGATTATTGCTGAAAGTGGATGAACTGCAGGCTAAAAGTGGAACTTTGAGACAAACGTCTCTGAAACTCAACTGGTCCAGACAGAACCAGCAGTGAATGTAGCCCCCCCCCACTTTGCTGTTCAGGAAGTGCAAGGGGGCGTGGCCACTGGACTCACCTGAATGATTGGACTTTACCTGACAGCCAGGATGTAACAACAGCAGCTTTAGATGAATGAAGGGTTCTGATCCTGGAGCTGAACAGAACCAAGCCAACACAGCCAATCACAGCGCAGAACTCTATCGAATAAACCCATCGTCATGACGAAGGCTCCGACATTTTAGATTCGCTATTTATTGTGAAAAGGTTTCAGTTGGAGAGGTGAAGCTGTGACCTGATTCCATGTTGAGTTTCATGTTCTGCTTTTTGTTATAAATATGATCAACATCCTCTCTGCTGCTGCTCTTTGCTGTCAGATGAACAACCAGGATTTAAATCTGTCATTTTATTCTGTCTGTTGAAAAGTGCAAAACATGGATTATTAAAATAGCAGAATGATTACATAATAAGATGGTTCAAGTTAAACTTTAAAAGAAACATAAAATGTGTTGTTTCCTGCTGTCCTCTGTCCTCAGCTGTTCTGTTTCCTCTGACTGGACTCACCTGCTTTCCGTCTCGTCTCTCCTCCGTCTTTAAGCTCTTTGGTTGTGAGTGTTTAGGTTTCTGACAGCAAAGTGAATCAGATGAAGCCTGACTTCACTGCTGCAGCCATGTAAAAACATAAACAGATTGAATTTGATCAGCTTCATGAAACAGACTTAGAACAGTTTCAGTGCAGAAGCAGAGAAACATCTGACAGAATAACAGCTGTTATTGTAATTAAAGGCTTTTATTGAAGTCCAATGTGGAAAACTCAACAGTGGTGGACAAAACAGGAGACCGTCAGCTCTAGAAACAGGAAGTTTGCTCCTCAACATGAGGAGCAACTGAATAAACATCCTGTTTATTCTTCCTCTTCCTCTTCCTGTGGTCCTTCATCCTCCTTCAGGCTGAAGCACAGCATCTGGAGCAGCTCTAACAAATCAGCAGAGAAGCATCCACAGTTTCAGTATGGCAAGCTGTATAGCATAATAATTGAGTTAATTCATTCACTTCCTGCCAGACTTGATCATTTGGGTCACCAGTAGCAGGTTCTGGACTCACCTTGTTGGAAATTGGGGCTCTGGGAAGAACCCAGTTTGGCGTAAAGTGGAGGATCCATTGTTTCAACATGGCTGATCATCTTCTGACAGGCTTCTGGTCCTTTCTCCTTCAGGATCTCCACCAGGCCGCTGGCCTTGTTCACTCTGGTGTGATTCTTCTCCACCACTGACCGACTCTCTGAGGTGGTCAGCACCTTATCCGCTACCAGGTCCTTCAGAAGCTGCTCCAAGGTTTTATTGGACACTTTCTTGATAAAGTCAAGCAGCATGCTCTTCATTTTCTTTGCTGCAACCAAAATAGACACATAGTGGGGATTTGATGGAAGGTATTTCTGTGGGTCCGAACACGAACAGAACTCAAACCTCGTAGAGCCGTTGGAGAAGCTGGGTTGTCCTGGTCTTCGTCATCAGGCAGTTCTGGTGGCCGTGAAGATGAGACGTTAGATCAGCAGGTTACTGTCAGGTTATGAATGATGTCTTTCAATGTGACAGACCTGAAGTCTCCTGGATTTCATTCAGAGCGCTCTTCAGCGCCTCTCTGTGCTCTGAGTTGTACACCTGCATCATCAGGTTCATGGCGTCCACTTCCTGTCCCTCTGCCGCAGGACCCCTCTTCAGGGAACTGCGCTTCAGCTTGTCGGCGCCCTGCAGTAACATCTGGCAGTATTTAAGGTCCTGGTCTCCATGTCCACAAACATTTCCAGGACCCAGTGCTGCAAATCACAGGAGGAGCTTAACGATCACGTCTCAAGTGACCCAGAACCGGGTCGTGACGCTGGCTACCTGCGCCGTGTTGGTTCTGATCTTCTCCAGGATCTTCTCTGTGACCTCTTTCACCTTTCCAGGATACATCTGCACCAACAGGTCCAACGTGTCCAGTCTGTCCGCGTGCTTCAGACGGAACCTTTTGATTGGTTGGAAACCGTCTTTGGACTCGTCTGCAATCCGCAGGTACCAGTGGAAGTACTTTACCTCCCTGTTCTTCAGATCCTCCAGAGTTTTCTTCAACCAACGCTTCAAATCCTGGAAAGAAAAACGTACTTAAGGCTCATTACGTTGGGAACGGTCAGTGGGTAGACCACGGACTAAATCTCAACTCTTCATGTCTACAGAATGATCAGAGCCAGTTCCAACTGTTTCTCCTCCTCAGGAAGACATTTGAGCTGAGGACAACAGAGACACAGAAGGTTTGAAGATGACTGACTCACAGCGTCTTTATCTCCTGGAGGGCAGATCTGGCGCCAGCATTCCTCCTGTTCCTTCGTCATCTCCCTCGTTCTTCAGATCATAAGAACACAGGATGACGGTTAACCTAAACCCACCAACATGGCCCTGAACTTTGGGCATCAGGAATAGTTTTCAGGAAGCTTTTAAAGTTTCAGATTCATGGACCAAATGAACCACCCTAGTTCAGATGAATGATTGAGTAAGAACGTTGGTGAATCTCCCAAAGAACTTGCAGAACTTACTTCTTACTAGTGAAGAGCTGTTTGAAAGACTTGTGACCTGGAGACGTTTAAAAAATAAGACGGTGTTTAGTTTCATTCACATGACGGAATGAAAGTAAAAAGGCTGTTTATATCCTAACCTGGGGTAGACGGCGAGCGCAGCTCAGAGGACAGCTGAGGGTTGATGGTTTGAAGACGGTTCACCAGCTCCTTGGAGGCGTTGGTTCCCTTCTCCATCACAATGTCAACGAAGCAACTGGCCATGTTGACTCTGGTGTGGTTCTGAAGTATTGCCTCCTTCTCTGAAGACTTCAGGGTGTTTGCAGTCATGAGAGCCTCCATGAGCTGTGATAACGTTTCTCTTGGTACCTTCTCCACAAAGTCATTGAGCATCCTGGTGAGCACTTTCTCTGTGGGCAGAAACGCATCACTGAGTTCTTTGATGGAAACTTTACGATGAAGACCAGTTTCTGATGGACATTCCAGATGTACCTTCATTAATCTGCTCCTCCACCTCAGGGAGACCTTTGTCTGTTGGAACCAGAATAAATGTTTAGCAGGACGTTGGTCTGATATTTCAAGCATATCCTTCCATCTAGCAAACCTTTATTGCTCTTCATTTTCTCCAGGATCTTCTCTGTGACCGTCTTGGTGTTTGAGGCGTAGGTCTGAACCATCAGGTCCACCGTGTCCAGCCGGTCTGCGTCCTCCAGTTGACCCTTTTTGATCGGTTTGAACCCGTCTTTGGACTTGTCTGCGGTTTGAAGGTACCAGTGGAAGTACTTCATGTCCCTGTCGTCCAACTCTAACAAAGTGTCCAGAAGCCAATCTTTACAGTCCTGCCGGTGATGGAAAAGACTTAGTTAGAATCTGAAGGAAATCTTTATTGAGTTCATGCTGACTCTCGTATGAAGGTGTGTGAGGAACCACACTTGTGTTTGTGTGACACAGTGAAAGTATATTTACATGTCCTTTGTTTTTATTGATCTTCTTGAAAATCTTCTGTGCCACCATCTTGGTGGTGTTGGTGTAAGTCTGAACCATCAGGTCCACTGTATCCAGTCTGTCTGCGTGCTCCAGGCGGCTCTTCTTGACCGGCTGGAAGCCGTCCTTGGACTTGTCCGCGGTTTGAAGGTACCAGTGGAAGTACTTCATCTCCCTGCTGTCCAGATCTTCCAGATGATCCTTCAACCACTGCTTGATGTCCTTTTTAAGTAGAGTAGATAAGTGTCATCAATATGGCAGCGACCAGGATCATATCAATTGCAAAGTATCTTCAAAGACAAGTGAAGAAAAACCGTCAGTACCACAGACGATAATCAGTGACATCAGACTCATTGGACGGTGACTTACAGCATCGTTGTCCCCTTCAGGACAGATCTGCTGCCAGACTTCCTTCTCGTCATCGACGGGTCTTTGGGTCAAATGATGACACTAACATCAGTGAAGGTTCACTTTTATGGAAATATTAGTGACAGAAGATAAACTTTGTAGATGATTAAATCTAGATAGAGCAGCTTAGGTCATGGATACGAGTCAATCCAAACTACATCTGGATATCATTTCACAAATATCCAGAGGTAAGTGAAGGGTCCGCATGAGGCAATAGTTATTGAATCAACAGTGACATAGATGGTGGAATTGATAAGTCTTCAATATAGATTATAACCACCAGATTAATGTAAAACTTAATAAAAGCTCAATAGTTTCTCAGCCACGTTGTGAAAACTTACTTCTGGTAAGGTTTAAGAGAAAGGAGTTGTTGAATGACCGGTTTACAGAGAAGTCCTGGTTCTGATACAGGTTTGGATTTGGGTTCATGTGATCTTTGACCTGATGGACAGACGGAAAAATAATAAATTATGGTCACAAAGTTCATGATGTTTGGCTGTAGACCTGTAAACCGCCAGCAGAACTCACCTTGCTGAACAGACAGACCTGAGGACAAGCCCAGCTTGGAGGACAGTGGAGCATCAACAGCCTGAAGGTGGTGGATCATCTTCTTCCAGGCAGCAGGTCCTTTATCCATCACCGTGTCAGCAAGGCAGCTCGCTCTGTTTCCTCTGGTGTGGTTCTTCTCCAGAATGTGTTGCTTCTCAGAGGACTTCAACACACCGTCTGCTGCTAGAGCCTCTGACAGCCGGGTCAGGGTTTCATTTGGAGCTTTCTTAACAAACTCCTCCAGAACCTTGGAGACTTCTTTCTCTACAGGATGGAAGACAAAGGAACTCAGTGAATGTCATCAAACATGTTGAAGATTCCCTGATCTGATGGTGTAGGGTAACAGGAAAGAGACTCCCCTGGTCCCTCCACTGGAGTCCCCCAAGGCTCAGTACCTGGACTCCTTCTACACACCCTGACTGGGTCAGAACATCTGACAACATGGCGTCTCAAACCAGCGCTATGCTGATGATACCCAGCTCTGTATCTGTGAGCAGCTGTGAAACTGAACTGCTGGTGTTCATCCAGACCCTCCAAGATGTCTGCATCCTAACTGAACTCCAGCCGCTTCAATAATGAATTCTTACTTTCTGCTTCAGCTGGAGAAGACGGCTTCATCTGCTCCTCAGCTTCTGGTATGTCTTTGCCTGTTGGAGCCGATAAAGAGTTGATATCAACGATGATCCAATCAGTTGAGTAGATGATCTCTGAGTCGTTTACAGACCTTTATTGGTCTTGATCTTCTTCAGGATCTTCTCTGTGACCTCCTTGGTGTTTGTGGTGTATGTCTGAACCATCAGATCCGATGTGTCCAGTCTGTCTGCGTCCTCCAGGTCCTTCTTCTTGATGGGTTTGAAGCCGTCCTTGGACTTGTCTGCCGTTTGGAGGAACCAGTGGAAGTACTTCAGCTGTTTGTCGTCCAGATTGTCCAGAGAGTCCAGAACCCAGTTATGAACCTCCTAGATGGAGGAAGACATGATCAGTTTACTGAGTAACTCAACCAGACCAAACATAATGCATCTGTATTTATAGATGCAAAAAGAAGTATTTACATGTTTCCTATGACTGTTGACCTTCTCCATAATTTTCTGGGTGACCTTTTTGTAATTTGTGGGGTAGGTCTGGAGCATCAGGTCGACTGTGTCCAGTCGGTCAGCATGCTGCAGGCGACTCCTTGTGATTGGTTTAAAGCCGTCTGCAGTTTGCAGGAACCAGTGGAAATATCTCAGCTCTCTATTGTTTAACTTTTCCAAAGTCGTCTTCAGCCAAAGCTTCGACTCCTTTAAAAATAAACCAACATGGTCGATTCGTTTTCTCTGAAATGACATGAATAACTCCAGATCCTCTTGTTTTGACATAAAGATGAAAACTTACAGCATTTTTGTCCCCGGGAGGACAAACCGAGGGCCAGAAGTCTGCCTGCTCTTCAGTCCGGATCTTCTGTACAAAACTAGAAGAGCCAGAAGGTTCAAGTTTGACTAACATGGACTTTATTTGAGCTTTTATTCCTTTAGAAACAGTGAAAACAGACAGAAATACCAAACTGTAAAACACTTTGGAGCCAGAATGACCGACTTCTCCATGGAAACGAAACATAATCCCAGCTTACCCCTGAAGGAGCGAAGCCGTGTTGGTCACTTTATCTTTAAATTCGCTCTGACGTCCAGGTGACTGGATCCGTTCAGGTTCCTGAAGTTCTGCTCGCCTGAGAATCAGGAAATGTTTCAAACGTTCAGTTGAGGCACAATAAATGAAAACAGCATCCAACGTTTGTGCTGCACACATTTCTGTTTGTGGTGCCATCATTTTAAAGATGCTAAGAAATGTTTCCAGAGATCATCAGAGGTCAACCAGCCAGGTCAACTGTTTGCTGCACAAATGATTTTGTTTGATTTGAAAAAGATGGTGAGTTCTACAGTGAACCATCAGGTTTATCATCTGGGTCAAAGAACAGAACCTGGAACGGACAGGCGGGTCAGAACCGGATCTGAGAACAGAAAGTAAAAACTGAAACAACTTACTGAAAAGGACAACACCAGGAAGGACAAGCTGAGGAGTTCTTGGCCGGTTTGCTGGGTTGACGTCCTGCTGGTTGCTTCTTACTGGAACACATGAAACAACATGATGGAGACGGTGTAGTCAAATCCTGAGATGCTGTGAGAAAATGAAGGGAGGGTCATCCACCTCTTGGCCTCCATCCTGAGATTTGTGATCCTGAAGTTCTCCTGCAGGACAAACAGCATCACCTCCGTTAATTGCTGCTGCAGTTCTGCTCTCTGGCCACTAGGGGCGCCTTGGAGCGGCGCTCCAGTAAACAACCAGTAAGAGATATTTAACTGACCCACCTCCCCAACCTGCTACTGCAGGTTGATTCTCTTCAGAGCCACCCAGCTTAAACTCCTGAGTTCAGAGCAAACGAAGGGTTACAGTCAGGCTACGTCAGTTAGCTTCATGCTAATCCCCATCAGCTGCAGAACCTGAATGTTCACTTCCATGGAAACGCAGCTCATTTAGTCTAATTGCTCTGGCTGTTTCCTTGAAGCACATCAACACCATTCAAGATTCTTCCTGAAAACTCCTCCAGTCGGACTTCAGCAATATGAGATCGTCCTTCTGCAGAACTTTCCTACTGCAGCTAAACACTAAGCTTTCATGGAGAGTCAACATCAGAGTTAAAACCATTTAGGTAAACGCTGCAGGCGCCACAAAGAGGAGCAAACTTTCTGATGAACTCAAATAGTTTTATTTTATTTCCATAGAAAGTATTTCCAGTTTATTTGCAGCCGCGCCCTGATTCTGCCTTGTTCTGCTGATGACTCAGCAGATTTATTGTTAAACCTGCTACACTTCCATCTCATAAAGAGCTGAAGGAACAAGCAGCAACAAAGATATGATACAATGATGAGAAAATAATCAGATCTCACCTCCTGACCCCGGATCAAAACCAAACCATGTTTCTACATTTATGTTTCCAAACTGACATCAAGTAAAAACCTGACAGGACAATTCAAGAAGGAGATGGGTTCTGGAGCGGTTCTGGAGTTCTGGAGCGGTTTTTTCTGGAGAGCGTTCTGGACTGGATTCTGGTGTGAAATCAATCCTTGATTTCCAGCTAAATAACTCAGACATGCAGAAAGTCAAACCCTGGACGATCTTCTCCAGTGATGAAGATGATGCTGTGATCTGCATCACACCACAGAACCATTCTTCCTCTACCGAGATTCAGAGACCTGGCAACCAGTCCATAGCAACTAGGAGCTGCAGGTCCAAAACTAAAGATCCCAGAATGTCTGAAACAAACGGCAGACACTTACAGTGGTAAGCTGTCCTCCCAGTACGTCCACCAGTACGTCCTCCAGTCGGTCCAGTAGAACCCGGAGCCGCTCTGTCCTGCAGCAGACTTGGACTGAGCCACTCGGTCTCTGAAACCTGAATGTCGACTTCCCAGGAAGACGCCTTTCATTTCAGCTCCTCCCTGCAGAAAACTGCTGGAGAAAATCCAGAATCAACCCGAGAGATAAGAAATCAATCAGTTCTGATCTGATCGTTGATTGATCAGTTCTGATCTGATCATTAATCGATTAGTTATTAGATGAAATGCAGAACCGATCTGTTTCGTTTACTGAGAAACTTTTTAATCTATTTGAATAATTAAATCATTCTGCACGGAGCACAGCTGTGGTATTACCTATAAAAAAAATGCAAACTGGTGTTATAATCAAAGTTTTAAAGGACAGATAAAACAATATTTTAATAATCTGCATTTAATCAACAGCTATGGGGATTAGGGTGATGGCCAGGAGGCCTTCCAGCTCTATTTGATCAATAAATAAACTGATCAAACTGTTGATTTTCAGATCAATTTTTATTGCAGTAGAAAAGAACAGAAACATTAAAATGACTTTAGTTACAAACTATCAAACATCATCACCTCCACCGTCAGCTGCTGCAGGAAAACATGGAAGAATCTCATCGTTCAGAAGCTTCGTTTGTTTCGATTGAACAAAAACAAAATGAATAGAAATAAAACATCCAGATGTTATCAGTGACCCGACAGGAAGCCGATTAACTGCTGCAGATTGAAATAAAAGCGTGAAATGAAAACGTTTAGTATCATGAATCTGTTTGGAGGGAATCAGGCTGATCATTGATCTCATTCTTCTGGTTCTTCCTCCTCCTCTTCCTCCTCTTTCTCTCCTTTGGTTTTCCCGTCGTCTTTCATCTTGGAGCGAAGACGTTTGAACAAAACTGCAGTCAGGAGAAAAAAAAACAATTATAGCAGCCATACGGATGAATGATAATAATACTGACAATAACTTATTACTAAACATGAATGTTAATGTGTTATTGATGATAATAAGACCCTGGCAGCATTAAGTCCAGCCCGGGTTCAGAGGGAACCAGATGACATCACCTTGCTGGGAGAGCCTGAGGTCAGAGTGCAGCGCCGGGTCGATGCGTTGGATCTGATGGATCACCTTCTGACAGTCTTCAGCTCCTCTCTCATAAACCACGTCCACCAGGCAGCTGGCCTTGTTCACTCTGGTTCGGTTCTTCTCCAGAATGGACTTTCTGTCTGAGGCGCTCAGCACCTTATCGGCTACCAGCGCTTCCACCACCTGCTCCAGGGTTTCCTTGGACACCTTCCTGATGAAGTCAAGGAGCATGCTCTTCGTTCCTTTTTCTACCACAACAATGACAAGACAGACAGCAGAACAGATTTTTCACTTTATTCTGAACAGATCATCTATCAGTGGTTCTGGCTGACGATGGTTGGACCCCAACCAGGCCAAGAAGAGATAAATCGTCTTGGTCTTCTTGGCCTCCTGACTGTATTCTGAGAAAAGGTTTCCATGTTGCTGCAGCCAAAACCTTGTTGTGCAGTTTGAATGATGTCACTGACTCTACGTTGAGGGGTTTCCCCTCAGGATTGAGCCTTTGCTTTTTGCACAGACTCCTACTGGCCCCATCTGGTCATGATCTACAGCTTTCAATGGAACAGTTTGCAACTGAGTGTGAAGCAGCCAGGATGAAGATCAGTGCCTCCAAATCCAAGGCCATGGAGCTGTACATCTTCATCAGAGCAGGAACAAGGTAGGTTTCTTCACATCAAGAGGATCCAGTTGAGGTTGGACGGGTATCTGGTCAGGATGGACGCCTCAGTGGTGAGGTCATCCAGGCACATCCCACCAGGAGAATATGGATTGGAAGACCCGGAACATACCGGAGGGACGATGTTCCTCTGATGGGAATGCTTGGGGATTCCTCTGGCGGATCTGGACCAGAGGAAGTCTGGGTCTCCGTACTGAGTCTGCTACCCCCAGACCAACCCTGGATAAGTGGCAGACAATGGTTGGATGGATGCTCAGGATTATCCAGGATTATTGGACCATTCATAAGAGTGAATCCTCTAAGGCCAGGCTCCAGAGATTTCACTCCAACCTTGATCAGTCCTGCTTGAGTCGTCAGGGTTAGCAGTGACTTCAGGGCCCTGAAGTTTCTACCTTTGGCTCCTGCAGCCTCGGAATCATCCACCTCGGACTCTTCATGGATCCTCCAGCTTCTCTATCCAAGACGCCATGTTTGTTTTCGGTGTTTTGTTTTATTTCTTTAGTTTCATGAAACTTCTTTCCTCCTCCCTAGTCTTGGACTTTTTCCCCTTCATTTATTCTTAAAGGACATCAAGCATATAATTTCTATATCTATCTAGATTGCATTATGTTTATGCATGTTGGCTAGTAAGTAAAAACACTTACCTGCTGCAGCACTGGGAGAAGATGGATTACTCGGCTGCTCATCATCAGATAAAACATCATCTGAAACCAGCAACCAAACTTTCAGTCATCTGCCAACAGGAAGAGGCAAACTCTGACTGTTTTCATTGACGGACCTCCACTCTCTTTGAGTTCATTCAGAACTTTCTCGACTTCCTCTCTGGTATCGGAGCTGTACATCTTCATCATCACATCTGCTGCGTCCACTTCCCTCCGTCCTCTACAGGAGCTCTTTTCAGGGATCTGATGCCGCCCTTTAGCTTGTCGGTGCTCTGCAGCAACATCTGGCAGTACTTCAGCTCTTTGTCACCCAACTCTTCGAAAATGTCCAGAATCCAGTGCTGTAATGTAGTGTAAGTTGTATTTTTCTGAAGTAAATTTGT